GAATCCAAATTTTTACATGGTCATCAAGCCACGAACCAAATTTTTTGAAACTATATTACAATTTTAGGAATTATAATTAATTTTTATTTATTTGTTAACATACACAAGTAGTGACAGATAAATCATAAGAAAATCACAAAGGCTTACAAATAAACAATATTTTGCTTTCATTTAACAAAATGGATCAAATTATAGAAATATTACAAAGTAAAAACGACAAATACAGTGGTTAGGGTAAGGAAAGGTTCAGTTACCATGAACTAAACTAAACTGTTAATAAAAAATGTCTGGTTTCTAAATGTCATCTTAATTTAAAAGGTTTCATGCTCTCTTGTGAGAGCACCTCGCTACTTATGACACACTGAGGTCTTTTTTTGTCCTCAATATATGTATTTTTGACATATTTGTTGCTATATTTAAATGAAATTTCACGTCAAACGATAGGGTTATCATGCACGCATTTCAAAATAAAAGTCAAAATAAGTTAAAAACTTTATTTTGTTGGGTTTTTTTTCCACACACTCCGCGACCCACTGAAAATGATCCCGCGACCCGACCCAACAGTTGAGAAACACTGCTATATTACATTAGAAAGTTTGTCATTAGATTAGAACTTGTGAGGGAGGCTATTGAGCAACACTTTTCAAAAGGTTTCCATTAGTTAACGTTACATAATGTATTTACTAACATGAATGAACAATACATTTATTGCAGGATTTATCCAAAACTGAAAATTCTCTTGTTTACTTGTTCCACACTGGTTTGTTTCTTTTTTCTGTTGAACAAACACACAAAAAAAAGATTTTGAAGAAAGCTGAAAACCTTTTGACTTCCATAGTATGAAAACGTAATACTATGGAAGTCAATGGTTATAAGAATTCAGCTTTCTTCAAAATATTATTTTTTGTGTTCAACAGAATAAAGAACCACTTTCATTTTTGGGTGAACTATCCCTCATAATCCTGACCAGGAAATTTCATTTCGACTGTCAACACTTTGTGATATAGTCGTGTAATAAATAATTACCGGTCTCCAAATCTACAAGCACCAGTTTTTAGGAAGAATGGACAGTTTGCCTTGTCCTTTTCAGTTCCGTAATCCTTTGGAGCATCTGGGTTTTTCCAGGGTCCCCCATTTTCCAGCTAAATGCAACAAAAGATGGCTTTTCATGAGAAGAGCAAATACAAAACTTGCATTTTTTTATCATAACAAGAATCAAGAAGTTACCTGACTCTCTGCTTGATCCAGCATTTTCTGTACTGCTTCCTATAAATGGTGCAAACATACACAGTATGGCGGGTGAAATTCTGTGGTGTGCAAGTACATGTCTGTTAGAACTGGTTAAGACAATCTGGCAGATCATTTGTACAGCATTTTATAATATTTTACAGCGAATATGTTCTCTGCTGTGGAATCAGTAAGCAATCTCATTACTACAAATGACATGAAAAGATACGTTCTTCATTGGGAGTCGACACTTGCTTCATATATAGCATTTTTGTGAATCTTAGTTAAGGAAACGAAGACAATATTTTGCATAAATTCACACAATGTACATATAAAACAGATATATGGCATGTGTGGGTGCATGTAAAATCATGATCAACAAGTCTTTATGTTTGATTTCTGATAGAGGATATGTAGACATCAGCATCTTTATCCTCCCAGTGCAGAGATCACCTCTCTTTCTCTCTTCTCCTGCTCCTTGTGCTCCCGCTCCTCTTTGTCCTTTCTTTGCTGTTCCTCCCATTCCTCTTTGATTTTCCGCTGGGTTTACAGAAAAAAAGCATTAGTCGATTATAATGTACAGCGCTCAGCATACACCTCATTCTGATAATATCCATTTTTTATCCATTCCTTACTGAATATAGGTAATACATGTTGGTGCATTTAAACAAAAATATTTTAGTCACCAAATATCTTTAGAAATAGAAAGATAATACATTTAAATTCATGAAAAAAAATTACAAACTACACATTTACATATAAATCTGAGCTATTAATTTTTGGACCATTATTATTGTTAGTTATTTTGTTAGATTAGCTACAGATCTGGCTTAAGTACGAATTAGTCTAATGTATATGCACAAATATAATATTGTAACACTTCCTATAGAAATATTAACCCTCTCAAGGCAGGCGTTGCTGATTTGCAACAGTTAAAAGCATAGATTTTGCCTGTTTCTAAAATTTAATTTGAGCCTGAAAGGGTTAATTGAAATGATATATTTATGAAGTGCTCTGCATATAAAATATATTATAAAAATATATTATCATAAATTTCTCATTTCAATTAATATATCTATAGGAAGTGTTACAAAATTATATTGTAGAATTAGACTTATCAATTAATTTAAAAGGCACCTAGAAGTTTCAGCTCAAAACACCCATCAGATTTTTCATTATACCTTTTACAAGATCCTGTTTTATACATTTTTCCACCAGGGGGTGATTTTGTCGTACTGCGCCTTTAAGGCGAGTCCTCCCCGCCTACTGTTTCTATGTGCCTTCCCGCGTGCTTTAATCTCCTCCCTCGGCTGCGTTAGACAACAGACAGACTTAAAGGAAGATCTCACGTAGCGTTTGTTGGAAATACTACAGTAAGAACTTTACCAATGAGTATTTGTTGTGCAGTTGCACTGATGAGTCACATGCAATATCGTAACAAAGTTCACACGCGCGCGTGCACGCACGCACGCACGCACGCACGCACGCACGCACGCACGCACGCACACACACACACACAGACAGGCAGACAGGCAGACAGACAGAGCGCGCTTAGCTTTGCATTGTTTTTGCACACAAATGTGACAGGATACAGGTTAATCTCCACTGCTGTGTTGATATCTGTTATGTTATTTTACAAAATAAACCTGATTTAATGTCCACAAACAGAGATTGAAGCATCTTCTTTTATAATTATTCTGACATGCAGCTGTGCTGATGAAGTAAAGCTGAAGTGAATCACTGTAATTAATTACACGTGCAAATAATACTAATTATTATAAATTACAAATGTATATACACATATTTTAAAACTAATTTTACTATTTTACCAAGTGTATATAACCTATAAGTTACTACTGTAAGAAAATATCAGCATTCGGTACATACTTTCAGTATCACCTTTGCTTAAAATGAGTCAATTTTATGCTGTTTATATTAAATAAACCTGCTCCCGAGCAGGTTTGAGCTACCAGAACTGTTGCAATGATATCAACTCTCGGATTAATTTTAAAGAACAAAACAATCCTGGATCGTGTCAAATCGTCAATAACCAAATCCAGCTAATTGAGTAATCCACATACAAAGAACGAACCCCTGTTCTCCTGTTCACACATTCTTGTCACCTCTTCCTCTGCTTGTAAACTCATAAACAAACACTTGCAATCGGTTCATGAGATCGGCCAGATTGGCGAGTACCGACTGAGTCATTAAATGTAAACGAAGAATCCCTAATTAAAACCATATACTACACATTACAATCACAGGCTCACCTCTTCTTCCTCCTTTCTCTGTTGTGCTGCATCCTCTCGTTCCTTCTTTAACCTGAATTCTTCCTGCGCAATCCTTTCTCTTTCCATCCATTCTTGGTGTAACCGCTCACTGCATTGTTAATAAAGTATTATTTTCAAAATATTTCCATCTTTTCCAACTGATATTAACTAATTAAATTGAAATTGTAAGGCCTTACCTCTCCTCATCAACCTTCAGTTTGTCCTCATCTTCAGCTTCAGACTGAAGTTCCTCATTTTGCAAATTGTTATCTGAAAAGTAGGGAAATGATGTTGCAATATTGGTTTTGAATCTTATGATTATATTATTCACAAAAAAATATTTTAAATTGTTATTTTACAGTATTACTGTTTTAATAAACGTTAAAAGACTAAATAAATGCAGTCTTGAGAGATTGCATTTATTTATTTATTATATTATTTATTTTAAGAGGCTTAGAATATTTAACCTGTAGACTTAAAATACTTTAACACGTAGTGCAGAAATAATAACTACTACTATAATATAATAAACAGTAAAATAAAAAATCTAGAAAATAGCTAATTAAATCGTGTCAATAACCGTGTAAATCAGTTACCTGCTTCTTTTATTTTAGCAAGCGCTTGGCGTTTTCTTTTTCTTCTTTCTCGTTTAAGAGCAGCTCGTCGTTTTTTATGACTAAGAAGTTGGTAAATAAATACATTGTAAATAATTAAAACACACCCATACTGACTGATTTAATACAGCAACAATGTCAAACGTCTGATACAACACCTGAGTACAACAGAAGGAGTTTCACACATATTCAACCGGTTCTCAGAGTCCTGTGTCTCTGTCTGAATCGAGCAACAACCCTTCTCCGTCATTTCAAACCATTATTTAACTCATATCGCTGATAAACAACAACAGCACAAGCTATCAAGCGCAACACATTTTCACCAATCATTCAACGCGCGCGCAAAGATGACATCACTTGCCGCTTGTGATCGCGCATGCTCAGTTTAGAAGTGGGAAGTCAGTTCACTTTACCGAGTCGGTTCATTTGGACAGATCGTATAAATGAACATGCTCAACTAAACTATGAAATCGTTGGTGTTGTTTATTGTTTCACCGTTGTTGTCCCCCCTGGATACTACATTTAATACCACTGTACTACTATTAGTAATAAAACAACAATGATAAAAAAATTATTATATGTATTATGATGTACCACTTATTATACCACTGCGACTACTACTATTAGTAATTTAATTATTATTAGTTTATTATAATTATAATAAACAATAATACATTTATATTAACAACAACAAAAATGTTTTAATACCGACAATAACAACAACAACAACAACAACAACAATAACAATTTTGTTAATATTATTTTGTCGTTATTATTATTATTATTATTATTATAGTAGTAGCATTGATATTTAACAACAAAAAAAGAGTCGGTTCAAATGAACGACTCGCTTGTGAATCGGACATCACTACCTCACGTTGGTTTTGCGCTTGTGAGATGCGCGAACTGGTTTTGCAAGTGACGTGTGTTGAGTGTAAAAGCCTGTTTTTCTGCTTTTTGGCTCTATATCCCTGGTCCATTCAGTGGCTACCCTACAGAAAAGTACGCCAAAATGGCCGATAAAGAAGGTAAACTTTTTCCGTAGTGAATTACGTGCAGTATTTATTCTTTTGCCAGAGTTTGCTAGCGTTAGCCTAATGTGCTAACGTTAATGGATGCGACCCACATACTGTCATAAGAATGAATGAGTGTCACAATTTCTTTATCAAAAACTTGCTTTTCGTGAATTGTATGGCAACTAGCGTGATTAAATTACTATTATTTACATACTGGCTTAAAAACAAGTTATAGCTTCTCAAAGCAGACTGAAACTCCGTTGTTCGCTGATTTCCCTCCATCATTCATATGCTGCTGCTGTGTATCTACTAACGTTAATTCAGGAAATCCCATCTTTACTCTTTAGTTCTGCTAATTTATGTGGGAGCACATCAACTTTCTACTACACAACGCTCTTTCACAGTTAAGTCTTTGTGAAATGTGATCATTTGCATACATTTGGCCTAAAATAAATAAATAAACAAATAAATAGAGAGAAAACACGTTATGCTTGTAATGAAGTCTTTACATTGGTCAACTTCAGTGTGGATTTGATAAGTCCTTTATAAGTTCATAATGCATTTCATGGGTTCGCTCAAGTCTATCCTTCAAAGATGCAATATGTGAACAAGAACTCCCAGATCTTCAGATTATTTTCTTCTAGAAGATACTATAGTAGAACTTTAAAGATGCTTTAAAGTTCATCAGGAATGTAAGGGCACCAGATGTACTTATAGTAGTTTTAAAGATTAACTATAGTCTTTCTATACATTCCTATAAACCTTTGTTTTATTTTGTTTTATTTTATTTTCTCTATTATTATTGGGTATAACTTTAATGTTTGTTTGTTAGTTTGATATTCTGTATTGTTCTTTTTTTTATAATGGGGTTCCCACAGATATGAAATAGAAAAAATTTTTAAAAGATCTACTCCAGACAGTGAAAGCAGGGCTGCACGATATTGGAAAAATCTAACACTGCAATATTTTTTTGTTCAGTAATATATTTTGCGATAGGAATACAGATTCACTAGATTTGTTGAATAACTACTTGGAAAGAATTGATAACTTTAGATTGATTGGGATGATTCTGAAGGGGAATGCATATGCATGAAATATAACAAACAATCTACAGGCTTTTCAAAAAGAAAAAAAAAACAATTAAATAAACAGTGTATCATTGTTTATAGTAATTGAATAATCAAATGTAAAATAATAACTCATAGTCTTCATTTGATAAAGAAAGTCAATAAAATTAATTAATTAAAAATAAAATGAATAGTTATTAATTTGTCAGTTACAAATGGTACAATTTTACATTCCTTAATGTATTCCTCACACAGTCACAGGCCTCAAAAACACTTGCAAAATGGTCAATTTTAATCGAGATCCAGCATTGTGTATACACGTGATGTGACTATTGCGAATTATCACATTGCGAGATCAATGCGGAAATGATATGTTGTGCAGCCTTAATTGCCAGTCATTTTTATATATAATAAATTATATATAAATATAATAATTTTTTTTTTTTTTTTACATTTTGACTCCCATTTATCAAAACGTTCTGTACCATATGTTTTATCTCATGGTTTCAAGTGTTTTACCTAATGTTATTGTTAATGTTGATTGCTATTTTTCACTGCCATTTTATTCCTTTCCCATTTCCTAACTGGCAAATGTAGTGACCAAACTGTTGAAAAAACTGTTTTTTTTTTTTGTTTTTTTTTGTCTGCTCAGTGCTCAACCAGTCTCCTACATTTTATGGACAACAAAACAAAACACAAAAATTGGCGGCAGTATTTGTGTCATTTTGCCTTGGCTGAATGCATGTTGATATCTGTATTTTGTTGTACAATATATTGCCCCAAAATATATGGCAATAAACAATATTATTAGCATTTTAAGACCAATTCATGCCACTCATTATATGATGCCAGAATAACAATATAATAGTATCATAATGCAAGTACAGTCTTCCAAAGAACACGTTATATTGTATTCTTAAGAATATTTCATTTAAATATTTGTCAACTTTCCAAATGCACCTCCTGCTTCAGATCTGGGGCCTGTTTCAGAAAGGAGGTTAACTGAAAACTCAGAGTATTTTAACCCTGAAATGAGAGAAACTCTGGGTTTTCCGTTTCAAAATGGCAGGTTTGTTAAACTCGAGAAAGCAGGGTAAGTCAAGCCTGTTTCTGAAAGAAAGGTAACTTTAATTCAGAGTCAGTTACTGTGGTAACTTACTCTGTGAATCTAACCTGGTCAGAAGCAGGTTTTATTCTCTAAACTCAGAGTTTCTGTCTGTCTCCTCCCCTTTTTAAAGATGAAGCAGTATTTCTCGCCATAGCCTTGCATTTCCACCCACCTATTTTAATGCTCATTTTGGATACGTGCATAAAAACGATTGATAGAAACGTCATGATGCACATAACTTTTTAAAATATGCATAAAAAACGCGCATAACTGAGTAGGATAAACTTTTATTAGATAGAAAATGTCCGCATAAACCACGATGGAAACACTTTTACTAAACAAATTACAGTATGTACATTAAAAAAAAGATCATGATCATATGATAATGAAAATGTGTGTAAATGGACAAACCAGCAAGCTGAGCACACTGTAACATGTCTTAAATATTGTTTTAGTCATTCTAAAATGCCTTTACTGTTTCAGTATTAGTGTATATTATTAATTACCTCCGAACGTCTGGTGCGTGTCAAGCGTTTCCGTGTCTCATGGCTTCAGACGCCCCCACGTGTTCATTGTGTTTCAGCATTGTCTTCTGACATCGAGGCGCAAGTACATTAATTAGGCTAAATAAAGAATTAATTGACGCAGCTTCTTCTACCACAGTAAATTCTGTTTTTACTGTTGATATTTGGTGCCAGTTTAATCAGGAAGTAATGACATTATTCTAAAAAATATTTTTAGTGCTGCTTACCTTCTAAATGTTATATTAACCCCTATCACTTGATCAATAAAAAAGGCAGACACACAAGTGCACTGTTAAATCATTTAAAACTAATAAATGTATAAAAAAGTTTAGAAAAAAATATATAAACGTCACAAATTACATTACTTATTTTATTATACTTAAATATTTAAATACTTAAAAAGTGAAATTAGGCATTAACTTGAGCAGCTGTTTTTCCACGCTAACTGTCTCTTCTTCACTGATGGTTGTTTCTTTTCAAATATATACACACTCATATTTGCTATAACTTTGCATGAGAACATCAAGTTCAGCTGGAGAAAGAAATGGTGATCTTATTTATAAGATATTGCCATAGTCACTCGTAATGTCTGCGCTTCATTAATAATGCCTTTTTAAAGTCACGGTGTGCGCGCTTAACTCTGAGTTGGTCTACTCGAAGTTGATTGACCCAACTCAGATCAGCTGTTCTGAAACCGAAAACTCTGAGTTTTTAATCTCTCGGTAAATCAACTCAGAGTTCAAGTTTAAACTCTGAGTTGTTTGAACCTCCTTACTGAAACAGGCCCCTGGACACTTTACTGGTGGGCATAAATATCTGTGTCAAAGGTTCAGTTTCTAAATATTTTAATATAATTGTTAATCTGCAATTTTCTTCGGATAACTTACGGACCATCTGGTCTCAAGACATTGGAATTGACATGAACAAGGAGACATGGAAATCGGTCTTGAACAGGGGGATTCTTCCCTTCAATCTGTGCACATCAAATGCTCATACAATCCAAGGTAGTGCATAGAGCTCATTGGTCCATGAGCAGGCTAGCTCGCATCGACCTGTCTATTGACCCTGAGTGCGACAAGTGTCATTCTGGTTCAGCTACTTTAATCCATATGTTTTGGTCCTGTCCTTCCCTGCTTTCTTTTTGGAGGCAAATGTTCCTCTCGTTGTTTGCTATTACCACTGTTGATATTCCACCTTGTCCAATAATTGGTTTATTTAAGGTTCTTCCACCCGACCACACTTTACCCTTACATTTTGTAGACTTTTGGAGCCTTCTTAACCCTTCTGGCTGGGTGGTTAATCTTCTGAACAGGAAGAGCCCATGCCCTTCTTCTCACACTTGTTTGATAAGAATTGTTCTTTACTTTATTAAATTAGAGACAATTAGATGTTAATTTTGTAAATTAGACACTATTTTCATTAAATTGTGGGAACCCCTTCGCAAACATGTCCAACTCTTCATCTTGACCTTGCTCCTTCTGATTGAGCACCCACCTGCCTACTCCCAGCTTGATACTCAATACTAGTTCTGGTCAGCACATTGTAGACCTGTATTTTCTGTATGTAAGATTATATTAGTGTTTTTTTAAGTTTGTTTTAATTAATTTTTTGTTATTATTATTATTATTCTTTTTTGCTCAAAATACTAGTCAGTGTATTTGCTTATTGTTACATGTTTGTTATCCTTTTTGTATATTTTTGTAATGTGTTTTACAATGTATAAATTAAACTTTTTTTTTTTAACAATTTAATAATTAGACATTGGAATCAGAATGTCAAAATGTGTATCCTAAACAAATAAATAATAATAAATGTTAGCAAAAAAGTAACAGAGGCTGTGATATCTGCTACCAGATCTATTTTCAGTTGTCAGACACAGACATTAAAATATGCTAGAGTAGAGCTGCACAATTAATTTTAAAAAGATCGAAATCTCGATTTGACCCACTAGATCAGGGGTCACCAATCTCGGTCCTGGAGGGCCGGTGTCCCTGCAGGGTTTAGCTCCAACTTGCTTCAACATACCTGCCTGGATATTTCAAGTATGCATAGTAAGACCTTGATTAGCTGTTCAGGTGTGTTTGATTAGGGTTGGAGCTAAGATCTGCAGGACACCGGCCCTCCAGGAACAAGTTTGGTGACCCCTGCCCTAGATGATCTTAATCCAGCATTTCTACGATTCTGTCAGTCATATTTTCAAGTTCAGGAGAGAAGCAATGGTGGCCGAACTAGTCTTCACATTGTTTTACATATGTTGTTCAGCAACGTGGACACCTCTGAATGGTGTTGAAAGAGTAACATGCTGTATTCATAAGATGTAACTCACCTAAAAATGTCATTTTTGTCTTCATGTAATGTATTTGTGACCGCAAAATCACACGTGACGTGAGTTGACCATCAGCTGTTACCACGAAGAGGGCGGGCACGCGAACCTCTCAATGAAGTTTACTTTAGTGAACAGAACCTGCGTAGGCTGTGAATAACAGATAATAAAGTTGTTAATAATGTTCAGTTTGTGGCACAGAGTTTGGGAGCTGTGCAGAAAGTGAACCGCTCTCAGATGTAGCTGACTGATTCCAGCCCAAACACTATCTAAAACCCGGCGAAATGCAAAAATACTCACCCAGTCTTCTGTATTCAAGAAAATCACATCAGTGACAGATTTAAGGCAGAAAATGACAGATTGTAAGCATATGTCTCAAACACAATAATTCAACATCAGAATTATCATCAGCTTTAATGACCAGGACAAATCTAAAGTCTGTTCAAGTCCACCATTCCAAGTCTACAACATTTAGCATTTTAACCAACAGTACAGCTACACAAAGCCTATTGCTTTTTTACCTCATGTTTGAGAATAACATTAATAATAATAGCCCACTCATATTAACCTTTATTTTATATCTACACAATCGTGAGAAAATTATGATTTTTATTTTAGGCAAAATAATTCACCATTCTCATTTTAGCCAGAATCATGCAGCTCTATGCTAGAGTAAAACACTGGTGTTTTTTAACCATTCTGACACTGACAGCTTTAATAGAGATAGAGATGTTGCACAATCAGCTAAAATGTTGCTAGAATTGCTTTTTATGTAGGACTGAGCAATTTGTACTAAAATTAAAATCTCTAAGTTGAACATTTTAACTTGATTACAATTTATTAAAAATTTATTTATTTATTTTAATCTCTGGCGCAGCTTTCAATCATTGTCAATGTAGTGTAAATGTGCAACATGTAGCTATTTTTTGAGAGGTGTGCGGGTATGCAACCATGCGAAGGCTGCGCAGGACCATACATGTGGGTTTGATGCAGAAGTATAATCAGGGTCATGTGACTCCACACATGGTAGAGAAAATAACTGAAAAAATTGAGCTGGAAAATTGAGCTTGGTTATAGGTTTTTAATGTAGATTTCAATTACTTTTTTGATTATTCACCCAGCCCTATTTTTATGTATAGGCGATATATATTGCATCACCAAAAAATGTCTGAGGTCATGTTCATGTGTTAAGTGTTATAAGTTGATGTATTGATTATTGTGAAAGGCCTAAATGTCACATGATGTTTGTAAATCACACCTATGGAAAAGTGCAGTTCGTTATGTGTCTATGACAGCTCGAGGTATCACAAACTGAATGCAAATATAATGCTATTTAATGTAAAAAAGTGAAAATGTCCTCCTATCCGGCCAAATTTTGCAGGAAATCTGCAGCAATTAAAATAATTACAAACTCCTCTAAATTTAGCACCACATCCTTGGCTTGGCGTTAAAAACAGATTGCAAAATTCTGGAGGTACTTTTCAACTCAACAGCTGCCTGATTTTGTTCAGTATAGGTCAAGGAAATTAAATTTTTTTGTCAGTCAAAGTCATGGAGAAGTAATTTGAATTTTGGCTTCCACAGTGTTAATCACTTTCAATTGCATTCATTTGTTAGGAAAAGTGCTGTATACATATAAATTGTATTGATTTTTAATTAACAAATTATTATTTTTTTGCCTCCATCACAGTGTACGATGACGCCGTGGAGGAGAGGGTAATAAATGAGGAGTACAAGATCTGGAAGAAAAACACACCATTCCTGTATGACCTAGTCATGACACATGCGCTCGAGTGGCCAAGTTTAACAGTGCAGTGGCTTCCTGATGTCAACAGGTAATCCACTGGCTAACTTGTGTATGTTTTAAAACAGAGCAGTTGATCAAGACACTAAGTATGACTGTCCGTTTTTATACAGGCCTGAGGGGAAGGACTATGTGGTTCACCGGCTGGTGTTGGGCACACACACTTCAGACGAGCAAAACCATCTGGTCATCGCCAGTGTTCAGATCCCCAATGATGACGCTCAGTTCGACGCTTCCCACTATGACAGTGAGAAAGGAGGTAAGAGCTGATCTGAGCATGAATGGATGCTAATTTAGTTTTATTGTGTTGAAGTCATTAGAATAACATCAATTTTGTCTTTGTGTTTCTTCAGCAGGTATGGTCAGGATGTTGAGAGGAAATCCAGATTCATTTGATCAATAAGAGTGAATCATTCCACAAAGATGTTACAGCTGCATGTGTTTTCGACAGCTATGTTTTGTTTATATCTGTATTAAATGTATATAACCATATACTGGTGTTCTAGGAATAGTCAAATGAAAAATTACAATTCTGTTGTCATTTACTCATCTTGAAAATGTGACTGATGTGCATGTATTTTTGTTTACTAACTATTTCAGAGTTTGGAGGGTTTGGATCAGTTAGTGGAAAGATTGAGATTGAGATTAAGATCAACCATGAAGGAGAAGTGAACAGAGCCAGATACATGCCACAAAACCCCTGCATCATCGCCACCAAGACCCCTACTTCTGATGTGCTGGTGTTTGACTACACCAAACACCCATCCAAACCAGGTCAGTGCCTTTCAGATGATCTAAAGACCTCTAATATTTACAGTATGTACATGTATGTGTATAATAAAGCCTCGTTTTCTAGTCTGTATTAGATTTATAAAATAAAAATTCTGCCCAGTGCAAAAAGGTTGAAAAAACATTACATTAACATTTTAAAACTTAAAAAAATAAAACAAAACCACAGACCAAATGTTCACTAAATCTAAAAAAAATATTTAACAATTTTATTAGTCCCTCAACAGTTACTGTTCTTATGCAAACGTAATAGTGTTGAATATAGTATAAACGCACATTTAATGTTCATAATTTTTATTATTTTTTGCTCCATGACAAACATCTGCTTGAGCACCTAAAGGGCAAGATTATGGGTTTGCTCTGTGGTTAATATGAGGTTTTAACAATAATAATAATTCCTTATATTTATACAGCGCTTTTCTGTACACTCAAATTGCTTTTTACATTGGGGGAATCTCTTAATCCACCACCAGTGTACAGCATAGGGCTGCACGATATATCGTTTCAGCATCGAAATCGCGATGTGCGCATCCGCGATTGTCACATCGCAGGAGGGTGCGATGCAAAAAAAAAAAAAAATAAATAAATTATATATATATTATGGGTGGAGCCGAACCGGAATACGGTATTCGGAAAAGCAGGAATAGAGTGTTTTTACGAATACTTATGTCAAACAATACTTGATAAATTATTTGTATTTGGGAACAAGAAAAACATTATATCAAAAAGCTGCGTTTCCTCATGAGACCGCAGTGCATGCCCGCGTGAGTGAGTGAGTTAGTGAGTGAGACGTTCAGGAGTCGGTGGGCGGGGTGGGGCCGGGGTAAGGAGACTGAGCAGGCTGCTTCTCTATACAGCAACAGAGAAGGCTTGGCAGAGCGAAAAATACTTTTCAGCATTACTATTTTTGTTTATTTTATCATAGTAAAATAACACGTGACAGAAGTTCACTCAAAAGTGAAAGTTCTTTCTGTTATTAATTACTAACACTCCCGTCATTCCTACTACTTTCAGAGCATAAATTTTGATATTTTACCATATGAAAATGCAATGCAGTTATGAAAATTGTGAAATTAAAGCAATACAGAGATCTGGTCCCGCGTCAGGTCAGGGTGCACCTAACCTTAAAAACGCAGACGCGGCGGAGGCGCACTAAACTCACACGGGAAAGAACTGGGCATTCAATTCATGTTTTAGTGAAATAATTCTTTAAATACATCTCTTTTGATCTCTAAAGGGGAAAAAAGCAAAAGAAATTTGTCGTTAAATTAATTTTAGCAAAGACGCAACTGCCTGTCATTTTCACATTAGTTTTTCAGTTAGGGATTTGGTCTATTAGAGTAATCTAATAAAATTGTTTTGTTGAACACTGTAGTCTACACAATAATCGATATTATAATTTATTATATACATTAGCTATTATTAAAACTAAACTATACAATTGATAAAACAAAACCCTTTTTAATGTTTGCTTTCATTTTGACACCGCTAACAGTTGTAATAAGAAACATCACATTATGCAGAAGCATGCAGTCTCAAGTTAAAAACACCTTTTGAGTTTAAAGATGATCAGCCTGCCAAGTCAAGTTTACAGTGTCATAAATGAAATGGGTAGCATGAGTAAAGGGGATTTGCCCAGCACACAACCTCATGCGCTGCAGGTAGGCTGAATGATAATCTTTAAAAATATATAGGCTATGCAATACAAAACTTTAAACATTTAATTATTTTTTAATGAAAAGAAAAGAAATCAGGAGAGTAAAATATAATTTAAACCACTGGTCTGGCGCTGATACTTTATTGTTTGTATCCAGAAGAAGGGGAAAAAAGCAGATGAAAACCTGGCTGGGGAGACGGCGATAACATATCAGTTCTTCAGCAAAGATCACGACATCATTGTGATGCGTTTATCATACAACGCAGTTCGTGTTTATAATCATTAATATTAACTAGTATTAGTTCTCTCTCTAGACTTAGTTTTAGGGCTTGTTCTTGTCGGCGCAATATAGCCTCGGCTTATTGCACGTACGAATCCGATTGTGAAGAATGATTAAGCGCTTGCATTTTTTATTGCATCCTTTTCGCAAGTTATTCATTTGTTTTGTTTTTTAAGTGGTGCGAACATTATTTACTGGCAAACATGTTCCTCGATCTCGTACATCAACAAATAATGTAGCCTATTTAAGTTAATTTACCTTTTATGTAAAAATTAAGGAATAACCGAATTTAATATTAATAAATAAAACATCCGTATAAACGTACATGTTTATTTTTGAACTTTCGTTAATAAAACAACGCAAAACTGTTTATAAATATTGTAGTTAAATATTACATTACTTTAACTGCTTGAAACTGTATAATAATAACAACAATTAAACGTTACATTTTTAAGAACTTAACAAATAGTCTAAATGGCACTTTACTAATCAGTGTAATAATAATATAAATATTAATAATTATAAGTAAAAAGAAAATATTAACCTAGTAACAATATAAGTCAGATGTTTAAAAAAACAGCGTAGTTTCTCTCCACCTTTGTAGTCATATTTTAAATTATTTGCCAGAAAAACTAACATGTTGACTTTGTCCGTTTTAAGTGAAGAATGGAGTTATAATGTTTCCAGCAATACACTGTCAGACGGTGTGCTTGTAGCGAAAATGCACAGACAGGCTACTTTTTCACAACCATGCGAGAGAGGGCTTCTCCTTCTGTTCCGCCGCCCGCATTTCTCGCAACGCGGAGCGGCGCGTTCTTAAGTAGTTACCAAATAGCCTATGCTCAATTTCTCGTCAATGTCTTCCATTTATCACTTTCTCTTTTGTATCTGGCCATTTTTGCAAATGCCTCTGCCATGCCTGGCTGAGCTGGCTTCTGCGTTTAGAAGACAGGAGTTGATTAAGCCTACATGGCTTTTTTTCCCTCACCGTCAATCGCCACTAGCTTGCATGGTTCGGGACCCGTGGATCTGCGTATCGATGGATTTGCTCCTCAGTGTTTGGACTCTCAGCACTCAGCAGTGAATATTAAAACACACTTTACTTAAAACCCCCATACAAAAAGCTTAATCCAAATTGATTCGTTCACCTTTCTCGGTCGGCACGAATCCAAAATGTTCCCAGATGTAAGAGTTCGTTTTCTAACAAGATTCATGGTTGAACTTGAACTTGCTGAATCGCGCCTATTGTTATATTCTAACAGATATGTAATACTTGGCAACATAACAGTAATTTGTTTTTTAAAGTGCGTGACTTCACGTACTACGGCCGGTGGCAATGGACAACCGAGGTGGCAATGACCACCGCGGTGACGCGGTTGTCATGGTGACCGTCACAGCCCTAGTTTTAAGTAAATATATATATATATATATATATATATATATATATATATATATATAAAATATCGCAATATATATCGCAGGGGAAAAAAATATCGCAATGTCAATTTTTTCCAATATCGTGCAGCCCTAGTACAGCATTCACCTAGATGAAGCGATGGCAGCCATATTGCGTGTGATGAAGCCAATTATGATTTGGGGATGGTTAGGAGACCAGTGGGAAAATTTGGCCAGGATGCTGGGGTTTAACCCCTACCCTTTTTTTCAAAGGACGTCCTGGAATTTTTAACGACCATTGAGAGTCAAGACTTCGGTTTAACTTCTCATCTGAAAGATGGCACTCACTGAGCAGTATAGAGTCCCCATCAATATTCTCTGTTGTTAGGACCCACACAGACCGCAGACCCCCTTCTGGTCTCACTAACACCACTTCCAGCAGCAATCTAGCTTTCCCATGTGGTCTCCTATCCAGGTACTGACCGGATGCAGTCCTACTTTGCTTCAGTGGGCGACCATGCAAGAGTTGTAAAGAGCTAGTTTTACCATGTTTTAAGGCAACTTGAGTCCACTCTCAATACTCTTATTTTGTTGTTAAAAGACTAGTTCAGGGGTGTCAAACTCAATCCCTGGAGGGCCGAAGCCCTGCACAGTTTAGTTCCAACCCTGCTCCAACACACTTACCTGTAGGTTTCAAACAAGCCTGAAGGACCCAATTAGTTTGATCAGGTGTGTTTAGTTAAGGTTGGAACTAAACTGTGCAGAGCTGCGGCCCTTTTGGAACTGAGTTTGACACCTGTGGACTAGTTCAACCAAAAATGAAAATTCTGTCGTCATTTACTCAATTTTTACTTGTTTCATACCAGTTAGAGTTTTTTTTTCTGTTGAGCACAAAATAATACATTTTTGAAGAATGTTGGAAACATGAAAACCATTCATGTTAATGGTTTTCCATAAGTACAACATTCTTCAAAATATATTTTTTGTGTTCAACTGAACAAATAAAACTGAAGGGCAAAGGCTGAGTAAATGATGAAAGAATTTAATTTTTTGAATTAAGGTATACAATTATTCTCAGGGTAGCACACAATGAAGATGGTCCAGTCAGGTTGCATTATAGTTCTGTCTCATTTTGCGAAATGATTTAGCATATTTCAAAGGTTCCTGCAGTCTTTAACAGCAAAAGAACCCAAGATCTAATAAAATGATCATAAGTTATAATAATTTTAATATACATAGTCATTATGTGCTTCAGAGATACATTTTCTTTTCCCCACCATTTTTTCATTATACAAATACAGAAACAGTACAAACACACTGAAAAAAACATGGAAATATACACGTTGCATGGTGTTAGCATTTTATCAGATGAATAATTTTTTCAGCTGAAAAACTACATGACTTTTTCACAACAGAGCTAGTTCCCGAAACACTTAAAATTTAAATAACAAAACTACTCAAATCCACTTAAAGAGCCCCTATTATACATGAAATAGAGTCATATTTTGGTTGTAAGAGTCTCCAACAACAGTGTGATATGCATGCAAGGTCAAAAAAACACTTTCATGGTCTTATGATATGCTTTTATTTTGACCTAATTGTTCCAGCGACTCCCATATGAATCGTTTAGTGATTCATTTGTTCCCAAACCCCTCCTTAGCGCGAAGCTAATCTGCGCTGATTGGACCGATGACAGCCTGTTGCGATTGGTCGACACTGACAGCCTTCAGTGCGAGACAGAGTGAAATGCCCAGCAGCTAATCAACAGAAGTAGTCAAAGTGCATACAAGCTTCATATTAGTGTAAGGCGTGGATTTTGGCTGCCAGTGGAGAAATGCAAAAAACCGACAACTAACTATTTTATTGAGCAAAAACTCCAAGAACTGGGGAGGAGATCGACACGAGTCTCCTAGCCTGTCACACTCTATTTTTTCACACACACACACACACACACACACACACACACACACACACACACACACACACACACACACACACACACACAAACACATAAACACATGATGACACAACACCAAAATAAAAGTCCTTAACAGAAATATTAAAAAACGGAATACATAGAATGCATATTAGAGAAACAACATCACATTAGTTACTAACACCATAGTACATAGTACCCGGCTCTCACTAGTGTTATCAGGGCCTACGCGTCCATAGAATAGTGAGGGCGGCGTCTCCCCGGGTCCTCACTTTCGTTTTCGCCCTCCCTCCAAAACGGTCCCTTTCTTTTTCACATTCGGGTTTAGAGCAGCGTGATCGGCATTCGCCTAAAGCGCCAGTTCAGCTTGCTCCTGCCCTGAGTGTTATTCAGACACCACACCCTGAACCTGAGCTGAACTATTTTGTGTAAAAACAGCTGACTATGGCCATGGCAATGACAATCGGCAGTGGAACGCGAGCTCACAAGCACATTTAAATCCATAAACAAAGCTGCACACATCTCATTTTCTACAAGGCTTTACACGTGATATGAGAAAATAAAGAGTTAACCTGATACAGTACAAGCGGTTACAAGTAACAAAAAAATTAAAAACATAATTTGCAAGCTAGAGTAAACGAGGGGGCAACAATTTTACGTACTTACAGTTGTGAAATGGAGGAAGAAACTGATCCATGATTACATCAATAGTCTTTTCTGATCCTTCCTTTTGCAAACGGCCGATGAATTGTCTGTTGTAAGCATGTATTTTCCAGAAGCACTCGAACTGCACAAGGCTGGGCTGTAATGCTGAGGTATTTTTGCAAAAATAATCCTCAACCACTCAATTTTCACAGTTTCATCATTGGGTAGAGACTTTCAATAATATCCAGCTGAGCACAGCATTGATTCAACCAGCGTCTGCTACAGTGTGTGTCTAGCCTTTTTTTCTGTGTTAGTAGGCGGGGCCGCAGGTTTCAAATCTTTCGGGTTTGCATGTGCAACAACTGGGCGGGGCTTAAGTTTCATATCCACATCACAGCGAAATGGCTAAAGACTCATTATGAAGATGATTCAATTGAAGTACTAGGAGTCGACTTTTTTATAAATGAACCAATTGTTTTAAACACTGTCCACTTTCAGATTTAAGCCTTAGCTGGATATTTATTTATTTCAGAGCTGTGTTACACACTACATGGGAGGTCATTCTCAAAAAACCCTCAATAAGGGCTCCTTAATCAACCAGTCTTTTTAATTGTAATAACTGAGATATTACCTTGCATATCAATGGCTTAAGCCACTGCTAGAAGGTCTAATATTATGTTTAGGAATTAGCTTGGTAATATGAAATTAAGGCACGTCTTGGGTGTGCTTTAATAAAACTTGAGTGTTTCAAATTAATCAACAGCCCTTTATTATTCTTACATCCTTATATTAAATTGTGTATGAAGGAACTTGCTTTGAATAATTCATTACAATCTTTTTTTTCTATAGCACTTTTAACAATGTAAATTGTGTAAAAGCAGCTTAACAATAAATGAAGAAAAGTTAAAAAAAAAAAAAAAAAAAAAGTAAAAGCCTTAATATTTTAAATTGTTAAACTGAAATTGCTTCAGTTCAGTTTAATATGAATGTCACTGTTGAAGCTCAGTTCAGCAACTCCGATGCAAACATTAAGTCTGAGCTTTCCATTGTTCAGACCCCAGTGGAGACTGTAGTCCAGACCTGAGGCTGCGGGGACATCAGAAAGAGGGCTATGGTTTGTCCTGGAACCCCAACCTCAGTGGAAACCTGCTCAGTGCATCTGACGACCATGTGAGAGATTTAAAAAACCTCATGTATTTTATGTAAAATTGTATATATTTATTTATTCTGCATCATTGAGATATAAAGTTATTATTATATAATTTATATTAATTATGTTTATTAATTTATATAAGTTTTTATTTATATGGATCTTGCCATAAAACAGCCATGAGTGTGGCAATAAATAAACAAACTGAAACTAAAGACAGCACATGTGTTTTTATATTTATATGTTGACCGATCATATGTCTTTATTCATCTTTAGACGATCTGTCTGTGGGACATCAGTGGTGCACCAAAGGAGGGCAAGATTGTTGATGCCAAGACCATCTTCACAGGGCACACAGCTGTGGTGGAGGATGTGTCCTGGCACCTTCTACACGAGTCTCTGTTTGGCTCTGTGGCTGATGACCAGAAACTAATGATGTAAGCAAAGTGTTATGGTGGAAATAGTTCACACTCCAGGCAAATGTGGCTCAAATATTTAGCCCCGATGTGACATTTTTCATGTGAACAGCACAAACTGTATGGAATCTGGTATTTTACACTTCAATTTATGCCACTTTCATATCTGGCATTAAATTCAATACAGGTCAGGGCCTGTATTCAAAAATCATTTGATCTTCTCTCCTAAATAGTAGTAAAACATTTTAGGAAGTTTTCTCTTAAAGCCTGTTTATAAAGCTGTTGAGACGGCCTTTTATTAAGTAAAAGAGAGAAGTCCTAAGCTATAAATGAGCAGCTTTGGCTTAGGGTGTACTCACAGTAACCACAGTTGTCCCCTCTCTTCTCTCCCTCTCATCCCACACTCGCTTTGCATTTTTTGCTCTCTGAGCATGCTTATGATGCAACTCTTCAGTTTAACAGAAGAGAAGCGCTCTCATTCCGTTCATTATAGATTGCTCTAGCTATATTGTTTTGCATTATTTTAACTCATTTGTGATGCGATGACACAGTCAAATCTTTTGCTGAACAGATCCACCATTTTTGACGCTCATAGATGTTTATGAAAGTCCTCGTGCTGCACGTATTAGGAGGTTTGCTAAAGGTGCAGTTGTCCTGCAGCATTTGTATCTTTAATAAACTATGACAGTGTGCGTTCATTGAAAAGTAAGAATGATTAATAGATCCATATCAAATAGTCCCTTAAAAGTGACGTTGGGTTTTCAGTTTCACACTTTGCACTCACACAACAAGCGTACCGCACCAAAGCCCAACCGAACCGCACTTCAGATCACCTCTTCCAATCGGGCCAAAGCCTGCCAACTAATCCACGCCTGGCCCCAATTCAGAGCACTCACACTTGTCAAACAAAGCGGGAAATGCACAGTTCAGATAGCCTAGTGTGAGTACACCCTTATTAGCTATGGATGATGTCAGCATCATTACTAACTATGAACACGGATTGGCTGATGGTGTAGGAATCTGTAAAGCATGATGTTGAAAAATGGCACATTATAAAATGCAGGCCAGGTAAAGACGCATTCTTAATAGTTCTTTGCTTTTTTTTTTTTTTTTTTTTAGTTTTAGACATTATATAAATATTTTCTTCCAATGTTACAAATGAATGTGTTTTCTTAGAAAATAATTAAGCAAAAATATGATTTAAAATAATTAAATATGAAAAAAATTAAAATGGCATTGTATTTCTATGAAATATATTTGTTTAAATCTATTTTTGAAAGAATACTTTTTTAAAGAAACGTAAAAGAAACTGCAATATTTTCTGACTTCATATTGTCTATGAGAATTCCTTCACGTTTAAGCCAATAACTTTTAATATTACTTTAATAAAATGTTATTAAATATAACTTTCTTTCCAAGGCAGATTACAGACAAGATCCAATTTAGGAATGTTTATGATTTGACCTTAGTCCTCTTCACTACCCTCAACATTCCATATATTTACGAGGTAGCATAAAACAGTTTATGAAATGCTTTTAATGCACTAAATCAGAGAATGACTCATACAGCGACTGACACAAATTTTCAGTGTTTTCAATTACATAACTTTTTTTTTTTTTAGGTTTTAGACATGGAAATACACATTAGTGTTGTAAGAATGTTTTTTTTTTTTTTTTAACTACAGCGGTTCGAACTATAGTTTTGCAGAATTACTAAAAATTATCAGTATGATGGTAAAAAACTGTACATTTCTAGTCAAACCATCCTTCTGCAATCTTTTACCAAAAACGAAAATAAGGGCAGTATTAATAGCGTAAAATATGGTAGAGTGTTGCTATTTTGTGATTGTATTGTATTGCAATATGGAGCAATCAAATGTTGATGTTAAATGGACCTTCTTTCATGAAAAAGACATGTTTTGCCATATAAACAAATGCATTTAATAATTTTCATTCCTACAGTGTCTGTCCCAATAGCCTTGTTGGCAGGGTTCTGACATGTAGCACAACTGCACTTCATGCATTCCAAGTTTAAATCCTGGCTTGGGGATATTTCCCAATTCCATCCAATTACTGTCCTGTTACAATAAACTCAAAACACCAAAATAATCTTTACAAAAAAATGTAAACATAAGTATTTAAAATGCTAAAGTACAAATCATTTGGAAAATACACACTTATGTCAGCAAAAATGGCAATAAAAATTATATTAAATATGACGTGACCTGATAACTTGCTTTATTCACATCAAACGTTAGTGTACACAATTTTTACATGGTCAGAAAGTTTACGTTGTGTGTAGTTGTTCTTTTGCGCATACAGGTCCATTTAGAATCATTCACACTATAAATATGATATTAATCACATTTAAAACAACAATGGAAGTAAACTACTTAAAAAGAAAAACAATCTGAGGACAAAAAAAGAGATTTGAGCACAAAATACTCACAGTATGAATGTAGCTAATGGATTACATGTCAAAATGTCTGTCTTTCACAGCTGGGACACACGATCCAATAACACCTCAAAGCCCAGTCACTCTGTGGATGCTCACACAGCCGAAGTCAACTGTCTGTCCTTCAACCCCTACAGCGAATTTATCTTGGCCACTGGCTCAGCAGACAAGGTTTGTACTTTTTGGAATTTGCATTAGAGCTGTGGCTCGAAATCATTCCAGATATTGAGTCTGAGATTATCAAAACCCAGTTCTAGTCTCTGTTGAATGGATTCCAAACTTAGTTTCTAACAGCAGATGGGGCTGTATGATTTACAAACAGCTGTACATTGCTTGCATCCAATTCCTTACAATTACCGCTTGATCGCAAAATAAATAATAAAGTTAGGAAAGATTTAAGCACATTACAGGAATGTTTATTGTGAGCTGTGTTTATATTAATCTTGTGCCATGAAAGGCAGCTTTCTTGTGAGCTCATTCCTTGTTTGAATGTACGTTTTAAAACTAGCCTAGAGCAAAATCTGCTATTTAAAACAAAACTGAGAATCGATTCAAGAGAGAATAGCGATGTATTTTGAAGATCTCATCATTTTTGATGATTCAATTACTAGAACAAATTTTCACCACAGTCCTAATTTGCATAATCAAACACACACATAGCAGTTAGAACATTGTTTTAGCGACAAGTGTTAAGTGTTTACACACACACACTTAAACTCAAAGTAGGCTTGTATTTTGACACAAGGACTTATCTGAACATGTACTCCAGTTAATAGTAAGCTTAAAGATGGGTTTTCTGCAAAGCCACTAGAAAAAAAAAGTTCTATGTCTGCTCCAATTCTTTCTCCAGACATGAGCTAAATGAGCTATAAAATTCTCTCTGTGTTCATCTGAACTAATTGCTTGTATTTCTGAACAGCTCCACACAAACGCTAGTTAGAGGCACTTCTGTTGTTGTCGTCTCTAGGTCTGTGGGATGTTACATTTCAAAAAAGTACATACTTTGAGTGCTAAAAATGTTTAGTACAATAGTAAATCCTAGGGCTGTGCAATTAATCGAAAATCCGATTTCGATTTTGGCTTCTAACGATTATGAAAAACCATTAATCGAGATAAACGATTATTGCATTATATACAAAAATCGCGAAAGACCGCGTGCTTATGTGTGTGTGCTGCACGCACACACAGAGAGAAGCATGCGGTCACCATTCGGTCTCATTCGCACACTGAGACGAGCAGAGGAGCGCAGACATCTAAAGTCATCTTAACATGTCCGCTTTAATGGTCAAATAGGTGTCAAAACGCGGAGTTTAGTGATGATTCATATTAACCCTCATTTGTGTAATAAACAAACGAGTTGAGGATCAAAAGACACGTGAAAGAGAAACCATTAAAGTGACCCCGTGAAATATTCCTGCTGCCGCCTGTTTTTATCATTAATCAAACAACAAGGAGAACATCCCTCACTGCTCTAGACTGAAGGATTTTTGTAGCTAAAGTGTTTTTCTTAGGGTGAAGATGCTTAAAGCATAAGGTTTATGTGAAGTGCTTTCATGTAAGAGTTTTCTGTTATTGGGTTATTTTAACTGCAGTTGCGCAGTTTCACATTCACTCATGAACATTTCATTCATGCCCCCGTGGTATTAGACGCAATTAAGAAGTAAGGACTGGTGAGAGTGTTATGGAATTTAATGACGCGCACCAAATGGAAAGAAAAAACTTCCACATTTCATGATGTGTGTGTGCAGTCCTTTACTGACAGCCACGTATATGGATCTTGTTGGAAAATATGGCGAAAAGTCCTACATAATGGTAATAGTTTGATTGTGATGTTTACGTGAATAATGCCACTAATATATGCCAACTAAACGTCTTAATTCCATTTCTGTTTAGTTCAGTTATGATTTTATTCGGATTAAGGTAATCAAAAACCGCTGTTACGAGCTTATGTAGGCCTACAGTTTAAAATTCATGTTTAACTCAATAAACACAAGAACATCTTATTGAACATCATTTATTTTCATCACCAATTATCATAGTTCAGGGGTCACCATTCTCGTTTCTGGAGGTTCGGTGCCCTGCAGGGTTTAGCTCCAACTTACCTCAACACACCTGCCTAAGTGTTTCAAGTATATGTAGTAAGAGCTTGATTAGCTTCTTCAGGTGTGTTTGATTAGGGTTGGAGCTAAAATCTGCAGGACACTGGAACTCCAGGAACAAGTTTGGTGATCTGTGATAGTAGAACAGTTTCTCAAGCAGTTTGTGATGCATTTTGGAGACAGGAGAAACCTGACTTGAGAAACCCATTTTCAAACACTTACTTTTAGTTATTTTTTGAGTAGCACAGATATTCTAAATGCCTTCGGCAGAATTTAAATGAGCCATTTAATCTAGAATAATTCCAAGATTACAGTAAGATTAATCTAGTTTTAAAAAAATTATCTATGACCTATATACCTATATTTTTTGACAGTTAAACAGGTTGTGTCGCTAGCTTGTAGGCAAACCCATTTGTGAAAGTACAATCTATATGTGAAATGGTACAATCTAGATGTGTATATTTAGAAAGTGATTTCAGAAAATTTCTGTTCAATATGATTATTATTACAGCACACTATACACTAAAACCCAACATGCTATAAGGCTCCTGATATACCTGCAGTTGATGAAAAAAGAAATGGTTTCATTCAGCTAGCAAATTGTTATGATAAAAACAACAAGAAATGCTTTTTTTATGTTGGGAGCCCCAGCTTAACGGAGGATTCTTAAAAAAACATAAAAAAAAAGTAATATCCTCTGTGTAATCTGTTTGTTTCTGGTTGTAGACTGTTGCATTGTGGGATCTGCGTAACCTTAAGCTGAAGCTTCACTCATTTGAGTCCCATAAGGATGAAATCTTCCAGGTAAGTAATACTAAAGGTTCTATTACAATGTAACAATATGGAGTCATGATAAAATACAATGTAACAGAATAATGGAGTAATGCAAATGCTTTGACAGGTCCAGTGGTCTCCTCATAACGAAACCATCCTGGCCTCCAGTGGCACTGACAGACGCCTCAATGTTTGGGACCTGAGGTACTACTTTTTTCCAGTTTATATCATTAAGGAAAATTCTTTCTTTCTTTCTTTCTTTCTTTCTTTCTTTCTTTCTTTCTTTCTTTCTGTCTGTCTGTCTGTCTGTCTGTCTGTTTGTCTGTCTTTCTGTCTGTATTTCTTTTTTGTCTTACTTTCTGTCTGTCTGTCTTTCTGTCTGTCTTTCTTTCTTTCTGTCTGTCTTTCTGTTTGTCTGTCTTTCTGTTTGTCTGTCTGTCTTTCTGTCTGTCTTTCTTACTTTCTGTCTGTCTTTCTGTTTGTCTGTCTGTCTTTTTCTTTCTTACTTTTTGTCTTTCTTTCTTGTTGTTGTTTTTTTATTGTTCTATCTTTCTTTCTTAGGGCTTATTCACACTGGATGCATCTTTGTTTTAAAAAAGCTTGATGCGGTGCTCAGAAATGGTTTAAAATAAACCACAGCCCAACTCGAGGTCCACATGACGTGATATTATGAACCTGACATAATAACGACAATATCAGACCCATATAGAAAAACGTACGAAACGGAAAAATGTTATGACAAGCACTTGAAGATACATCACATCTTGGGCAGTATCCAAATTTTGATACCGTCAAACCTCCTCACTATTTTACCCCGGTATTGCCGTGCATAATAAAAAAATTATGATGATAGGCTTAGAGAGCGTCATCAAACTGTTGGCTTGTGCCTAAACCAATCAGAAACTGAAAACTGTATATGCAACCTTAGGTTCGCGGTCACCTGTTTGTCTTGTAATATTTTGCGCGGGACGCCCTCTCTGATTCTCACTCACACACACACACACACACACACACACACACACACACACACACACACACACACACACACACAGAGAGAGAGAGAGAGAGAGAGAGAGAACCAAGCTACACACACACACCGCTCTTTCTCTCTCTCATTCACACAAAACACACACACACACACAGAGAGAACCAAGCGACACACACACACACACGGATGCGCGTGCTCGCTTGCTCGCAGTGATATTGTTAGACCGTGCGTCCGCTCCCTTTCAAATTACACCAGAGTTGCCGACGGCTCCCAAGCTTTATTCGGAAATTTATTCCCACATCGCAAGAAATCTGGTCGGACCCCGCAGTACAGCAGCGGGAATGCAGACCTCTAGTTCATATTTACCACGTCTCCTTTCTCATTCGGTCGAAACTAGAAATACTGCCAAACTGCAGGTCACTTGGTGTGCGACTCGCCACATCAGCTTTCCCTCTCTATCCTCCACACTGTCCCGTGATGACAATCACGCATACGTATTTGTAGGCATTAAATAAAGGATATTTAATATTAAATACTCGACTCCTATTTAAGTGCATTGTTTTTTTATGACAGTATAACGGTATTGACACTGACACCATTGCTATTTTTAGATCCAGCGGTATATCGTATTACCACCCAAGCCTATCATATAACTTGGACATCTGGTTATCTGGACAAATCCACAATGAGGGCTGCCTCCACCATGATATAACAGTAAATAAAACAGCTGTCATGCCAATTTTCTACTATAAACAGAAGCTGGCAATGGTTGCTCTGCCTCCGAGATCTTTCGATTGGGCTACTGCTTTTGGGCCTAAAAGTGATGAGCTGTGATGCGTGTGAAATTTGAAGATCTTTCAACTTGATGCAGTGTTTCAAAAGATGCGAGGTGCGAGCGTAATATTTAAACACATTGGTTCAGCGCGTGTTAGCATTGGAAAACAATAGAAAAGTAGCATGGAGAGCATTCTGTCTAAATGGCCTTTATTGTTCTTTTTAGTGTTATTTCTTTCTTGTTATTTTTTAATATTCATTCGATCTTTCTTTTTTTCTTACTTAATACACATCCCTTTTTTTGCATTGTGAATAAGTCATTGATTTTATCTGTGTTTGGAGCAACAAATATGAATAACATATTTGCGTGTGTGTGTGTTCTAGTAAAATTGGAGAAGAGCAGTCTGCAGAGGACGCAGAGGACGGGCCTCCTGAGCTGCTGGTAAGTCAAAAAGAATTTGGTGAAATATTTAATTAAATAGATGTACTCATAACTGTTATGATTCGTAATAACATTTCAAAACTACACCAGTGTGATAGCACGTAAAATATTTAGGTAAAATAATTTTGATTGATAATATACAAGTTTGAGCTTTGTTTTCTATTTATATAAAACTTTTATTTGTTTGCTAAAAACTTTTCCTATGCTTACCAAATCTGCATTTATATAAAATACTCAAGTCTTATCAATGAAAAATCATTACAATTTAAAGCAAGTTTTTTTCTTCTTCTGTTAATTTTCAGCACCATTAATAATCTTCAGTATCAAATGATTTTTTAGGAATTTCTGCTGGTTTTGTGCTCATGAAAGATTTACTATTAACCCCTATTATTTACTGCAATTAAAGAAATGAAAACAGTTGTGCTGCACTAGACAGATAGATGGTCAGGTATTTTATTTGTAGGTCTTTTTAAAAGCCAAGTTGATCCACCTGCTTTAAGGCTTTGATAATAGCAATGTAGCATACTAAGATGTTTACTGAAATATTTTTTGTCAGTTCATTCATGGTGGGCACACAGCTAAGATCTCTGATTTTTCCTGGAACCCAAATGAACCCTGGGTAATCTGTTCCGTGTCAGAGGACAACATTATGCAAGTATGGCAGATGGTAAGTACAGTAAATCTGGAGGTTTACTTTTCTCATTATTTTGTTTCAGTGGAATTGGTACCAGACTTTATACTGATTTTCCCAAACTTTGGTCTAGGCTGAGAACATCTACAATGATGAAGAGCCAGACACTCCTGCGTCAGAGCTGGAGGGACAGGCGTCATAACTGATCTCATTCTAAATATACAACCCCTTCTTACTCTTCACATTTTGCTTTTCAGTATTATCCCGTAAAGTCCATTTACTCCCCATTCCATGCATTCTGATACTTCGTCCATGACAGGGTCCTTCTGTGGACTCTTATCTAAAAGGTTCACCCATCATCCTTAGCAGTAGAGTAATTTGGTTTGGATGGTATGGAAGACTGCACCACTTGTTCAATCACTTCTGAGAAGTTACGGCCTGGTGTGGCTTATCACAAATTTCAGTTTCTCTTTTTTTGTGTGCATAAACCTGGTGTCAATTTGCAATAAATCTTTTGTAATAACTTTTAAAATGATTTTGTATTCCAAAATTGTTGATAACTGTCTGTACGCCATTTAATTCTGAAAATAAAGTACAGATGCACTGTTCGATTTGCTTTATTCTGTCTCTTGACATAAGCCAAAATATAAAGACCAGTAACAGTTGTGGTATTAAAGGGACACTGTGGCTGCGTCTGAAATAGCATGCTTTCATACTATATAGTTCTTTAAAAACAGTATGAGAGCCGAGTAGTATGTCCGAATCACTAGTATTTGAAAAACAGTATGCAAGAAGCACCCGGATGACCTACTACTTCCAGCGAGATTCTGAAATGTGCATCCGATGCAAGCTGCGCTATCCCATGATGCCATGTGAGAGAATTCATGAATTGGAGAGAAGCGATGCAAGTGACGTGGGTAGATCACATGATAATTACAAATGGAGGATGTATTACGTCCTAACTCCATTAATACAACTCGCATTCATTCTGTATAGAATGTACTTTTCCAATGACCGTGTAGTAAATTTAAATTTGAGTAGTCGGCCATTTCGGACGCAGTCTCTGCAACTTTGTCGAGGCTCCTCTTGTGGTCAATGAGTGTAATTCCCTTTTACCTTTGTCTAAATTGCAAGCTTGATTTTAGACTAGATCTGGAGGCAGATCCGGAAGCTGCAGAATTTATTTAGTTTAAAGTTATTCAAGACTATTTCAAGAAACATTATTTTATGTTTGGAAAAAAACTTAAAGAGTGCTGTTTTAAGAGTTTTGTTGATCATTTCCAGTATGTACTTCCAATCTTCAGAACACAAATAAAGGTATTTTACAAACCCGATATCAAAAAAGTTGGGACACGACGAATTGTGAATCAAATCTGAATGCAATGATGTGGAAGTTTTAAATTTCAAGTTTTTTTTTCAGTATAGAAATGACATGTAAAATGTTTAAGCTGTAAAAATGTATTATTTTAAAGGGAAAAATAAGTTGATTAAATATTTCATGGCATCAACACATTTCAAAAAAGTTTACCACAGTGAGGCCTCCCTTCTTCCTTTTACAACAACAGTCTGCAAATGTCTGGGGACTGAGAAGGCAAGTTGCTCAAGTTTAGGAACAGCAACGTTCTTCCTTTCTTGTCTAATACAGGTTTCTAGCTGCTCGACTGTCTTAGATCTTCTTTGTTGCTTTGTTCCTCTTAATAATGCATCAAATGTTTTCTATGGGTTAAAGCTCTGGACTGCAGGCAGGCCATTTCAGTACTTGGACTCCTTCTTCTACACATCCCTGATGTTCTAGTTGATGCAGTATGAGCATTGTCTGGCATTGTCATGTTGGAAAATGCAAGGTCTTGCATGAAAGAGACGTCTGGATGGGAGCATATGTTGTTCTAAAACTCGAATATACCTTTCAACATTGATGGTGCCTTTCCAAATGTGTAAGCTGTCGTCCCTGTCCACTTTAGTCTGGGTAATATGGCGTCCAAGATTTCCAAAAAGAACTTCAAATTTTGATTTGTCTGACCAAAGATCGCTGTCACAGTTCCTTTTAAATGAGCCTTGGCTCAGAGAAAACACCTGCGCTTCTGGGTCATGTTTAAATATGGCTTCTTTTTTTTTTTGACTTATAGACTTTTAGCTGGCAACGTTGAATGGCACAATGGATTGTGTTTACCGACAATATTTTCTGGAAGTAGTCCTGAGCCCCTATGGTGATTTCCATTATAGCATTCCTGTTTGTGATGGAAATGGGTGATCCTCTGCCCATCTTGACCTCAAAGAGACACTGCCACTCTGAGAGGCTCTTTATACCCAATCATGTTGCCAATTGACCTAATAAGTATAACTTTGGTCCTCCAGCTGTTCCTAAAGTGTACATTTGACTTTTCTAGCCTGTTATTGCTACCTGTCCTAACTTTTTTGGAATGTGTAGCTGTCTTGAAATCCAAAATGAGCCAACATTTGGCCTAATATTTAAACATTTCTCACTTTCAACATTTGATATGTTATATATAAATATACACACATTTATCTATTGTAAATCAAATATCAGTTTATGAGATTTGAGATTTCAAAATTTGTTCTGTGCTCTAATTTTTTGGAATCGTGTTTGTAGATAAAATCTGAGAGCTTCCTCATCCCCCATTGACAGCAACTGTCCAGAGAATTTCAAAATTCAGAAAATGAACTAAAAACATTCTGAAAATTTTCCATGTGACTTCAGTGGTTCAACTGAAATCATACGAAGCTCCAAGAACCCTTTTGTGCCGCAAAAAAACCCTAAAAACCACTTTGTTCAGCAGTGTCATCTTTTCAACATCAGGGTGTGTTTACTGGGCAATACAACCGATTACCATTGGAGTCAGCAGCACAACACATAAGAGACATACTACACGTAGTAAATGCGCACCCTGATCTGAGGCAGTGGAAGATAGTCTGTTGATGATGTTATTGAAGCCTAGCATGATAACAGTTCAACCACTGGAGTCACATAAATGTTTTTAGTTCCTTTTCAGTAATTTACCATGAACGTCTTTTGCTGTCTAGGGAGAGTCAGAGAGCTCCCAGATTTCATCTAGAATGAACACAATCATTTAATTTGTGTTCTGACAAGGAATTAATAACAGAATTTTCATTTTTGTGTAAACGAACTCTTTAAGGTCTGGGTAAATAAGATGTATGGAGCTAATAATATGCCAAAACAATCTGAATCTGAATTGTAAATTAATAATGCTGTTAAAATAGTTTTAAATTCGAAATGCTTAATTTAAATTTTAATTTCATAACTTGAATATAGAACATCTGAAATTTAGGACAACTGATTATTTTCTTGACTGAATTTTAAGACTAATTTTCACACTTTAGATTTTTGTGTTCTGAATTGATAGGCTGCAGATATTGGTTTTGTAAAATGCAGTTTCAAGTTTTCAAGATGAAGAAATTCAGAACATCTAATTCAATATGCTAAAAACCAGAAATTCAGATTCAGCAGAAAGTAGGTCAGGGGTGATCAACAGGGAAGAGTAGACGATCACCCAAAAGCTTAGCACCCACTAAGCATTTTGGCCAATCACTGAGCTGCTTGAGTTTACTGGTGTATGTGAGGCTCAGGAGGACACAATTCTTCTGCAAACTGACTGTCGGGGTCAGCTATTTCCAGTAGTTTGTGTAATAAATATATACTTGCTTCAGTCAAGCAAACTTATATTTAATTCAATTAAATCTCATTGGTTAACCTATTTTATTAACATTTTCAGTGTTTTGTTAGATTTTGCTGTATTTGGCTTAATCGTTCTTGGGTGGCTCGCCAATATATCAGATGACTCTAATACATAAAACAAGTAAGCTGACCAAAGTTCTTACGGGGAGAAGACTTTATTGAAGACAATGAATAGTGCAGTTCCTCAGCAGTGATGTTAACCCGTCGGTCTTCAAGTAACTTAACCCAAAGTACTGTCTGTGAGACAGTACTTTATATTAGCATCAAACAAACCATTCTGTTTACGAAGCTCAGCAGGACCCTCTTCAGATGTTTCAGCTGTTGTTTTGCTAATACCCATTGAGATTGTAAAAGGGTCATTTAGTTCACACCTATCAGTTTGTGGGGGTCGAGGCACAGGTCACCCCATCATATCACATCAGAGTTTAATCAATGTAAATGCAAGTGAACTAAAATGCACATAATCTTTCAATCCCTCCTCTGATCATATTTGATCATAAAACAAGTTAATCATGTATACAGCACTCTGCAATACAGGCTATATAACTTAAAGTGACAGAATAACAAGGCATGGTGAAGCTTGCATTTCCTTAAATGCCTGAGTCCATTTCTATTTGAAGTTGTGATGTTGTGGAAGTAGCGGATGTGGTTGTGTTCTGTGAATGTTCAGGTGTGTTCATCTAGGTGTCTGGTTTTGTGTGTCTCTGGTCATTCTCTGGAACATCGGAACACCTGCAATCACACAAAAGAGAAAAGGGAAACGTATCTTGCCCAAAAAAAGATTTTACAGAAATTGTCAAACTTCCTATAGAAACTATAGAAACTGTCCCTATTTAATATTGACAGGACACTACAGTGTTTATCAGTGGTGGTTTATGTCTTCATCCTCAGGCGACAAGCTAGAGCCTAAAAACTCTAGTCCCGCCATATCTGGACTCTGAAAAACACTACTGTCATCTATCCCTCGTCTCTAGGCAAACTCACGTTGATCCATTCATCAAGTCCCTGAACTTTATTTATTGAATCAGATACTAAAACCTTCTCATGTGAGCTCTCACACCTAGATTTTAATGGTAATATCTGAGGTTGTCGTATCTTTATCCATTTTCTGGGCTCTAAACTATGGCCCCTCTTCAGAGGTGACAAAACTTGATTATTGTCCTCATGTACTGCCAGGCTGAGTCTTGCTTTGTATTGGACAAGGCTGTCAGATGTCAGATTTTCTGTGGACATGGGCTGGCTTAGGGCATGTTCAAAAGGGCATAGTCTATTTCCATCTGTACTGCATTGGTTGCCATCATGCAGTTCTATTGCACCCTCCATCAGCATTTCTTTTGTTGAGTTTTCATTTGCAGTCTGCTTTCTGTCTAAGACTGATCGGTGGTCTTGCTGAAGCTGTCTTCATGCCGCTGTATGTTCACCTCTCTCCTTTACGGCTTGTTTGGCAACACCATCTACTAGGACATCAAACTTGTCTTCATCTGTTGAGACTTCTGTGTCAGCTTTTATCTTACTGTTTGCATACAAATTCAGTTCATCAGCTTCTGGAAAAGACGTCACTAGCTGGTGCTGCAGAGAGAGGTTCTTCAGTTTCCCTGCGGCTGTACAGCATTTAGCAGAGTCTGTTTTTGTTGTATTGTTAGCTGCTGAAACTGCTTGAACAGGTGGTCATCATCCTTGCTTTGATGTTTTAAACTGAGCTTGCACTCACGGGCCCAGTGTCCTTCTTCATTGCAATTTCTGCATCTTCCTTTAGTTTGTAGTTTTGAGTATCCCATATACTCACGTTCTTTTTGCTCATCCTCAGTTGTTCTGTTCTTGTAAAACAAACTTTTCGATTGCAAAGATCTGAGTCTGACATCTTGTGCTCTCTCCAGTTTAGCTGACCTTTCA